CTAGTCTCTAGTTAGTAATACATTGAAGTTTTTGATGCTTCCTACTGGACCCTGAGGATCTAGACGTCCCCCCAGTCATACTTCTCTCCATCCTTCAGATTGCTTTGTCTTCAAGTTCACATACCTCTGTCATTTCCAATCTGCAATTAAATCTGTCCAGTGAATATTTTTGTTTCAGAAATTTCAGTTCTTGAATAGAAAAATTACATTTCATATTTATAGGGATATATAAATATATCCTGTTTCTTTCCTGAGACATTCAAGTATATTTACCCTTACATTTGTGAGCGTTGTTAAAATAGCTGCTTTAAAATTCATATTGCTAATTCTGGCAGCTGAGTTATCTCAGGCTTGCTTTCCATTGGTTACCTTTCTCGAGTATAGAAGAGCCTGTTTTCCTGTTTCTCACTTACAATTTTGGATGGTAAAAGAATGAATGCCATGTAGAGATTCTCAAGTATTTTGTTTCTCTCCAGTGGATAATGATGTTTGGTTTGTTTTAGGGGACAGTTGACTGAACTCATAACTACAGACTCTGGAATCTTGGGTTGGTAATTTTAACCTTAGCCTGGCTGCTTAAAATGTCTCACATATGTGTAGTTCAGAAATCAAGCATGTATAATACAGAGAGTACACAGGACTTGGGCTTCCTCTCTACAGACCTGTCCTTTCCATTACTTATTCACTAGGCTTTAGCCTCTCTAGTCATACCAGTCTTCCCTTCAATTTGTCATGCAAATAAAGATTGCAGGTTTTTACTGAGCATGGTGACACATACCTTTAATGACAGCACTCAACAGGCTGAGGCAGGAGGATCTCAAATTCCAGGCTAGTCTTGGCTATGTAGTGAGATCCCTCTCTCAAAAAACAAATTTAGGGTCTGGCGAGATGTCTCAACAGTTAAGAGTACTTGCTGGAACTGGAGAGATAGCTTAGCGGCTAAGAGCACTGACTGCTCTTGCAGAGTATCTGGGTTCGATTCCTAGCACTCACATGACACAAACGTTCATAACTCCAGTTCTAGAAGATCCAGCCCCTTCTTCTGACCTCCATGGGAATTGTACAATATGAGTACCCTTATATTCACGCAAGCAATACACTTGTACGTATAAAATAATAAAAAAAAATTTAAAGAGTACTTGCTACACTTACAGAGGACCAGAGTTTGGTTCCCAGCACCCACACCAGAGAGCTCATAATGATCTGTAACTCCAATATCAAGGGATCCAGCGCCCCCTTCTGGCCTCCATGGGAACCTGCTTGTATGTGTGTGCACACATGGTATGTGCACAAACACACGTAAAATTTTTAAATCTCAAAAATATAAAAAGGACACTACAGGTTTGCTCCCTACCTAAAAATCACTTAAAAATGGAAAATCATTGTGTTAGCTTTCTGTCATTATAACAGCAAAATACTTGAGAAAAATCATCCTAAAGGAAGAAAGGTTTATTTGGGATCTTGGTCTTAGAGGTTTCACTTCATGGACACTGGCTCTGTTGCTTCTTAGGTCTGTGCTAAGACAATGTTGTGGTGTGGAGTGTGTCATGGAATGAAGCTGCTCACCTTGTGGCAGCCAGAAGCAAACCTTGAAAGGAAAGACCAGGGAACAAAATACACTCTTCTAAGGCGCATACATAGTGACCTGCTCCCTTCAGTTGGGCCCACCACCTAGTTTCCACAGTCTCAGAAGTGCCACCACTGAAGACCAAACCTTAAATACAGAAGCCTTTGGGGAATATTTTAAATCCGAACTCTGACAGTTATCCTTGTTGTTTCCTTTTTCCCTGCCTCCTGCATTTCTGTTTCTGCCTTCAAATACTGGTTTTCTAATATTTCTAATATTTTGTTGCTCATGAAGACTTGTCCAATAGTAACTACTCAGTCATTACAGGACACATACATAAAGTATAATTGTGGATTTGAATAATTTTCTCATTTGGGTCCTCATAGTCTAGAAAAGCAAGTCAGTGGTGACAGATACACATGTTTTAATAATGGAATAAGTTGGAATTTTTTTCATTCTTCATCCATTTAATTAATAAAGGTGCTTCTTATTTAGACCAAGGGTTTATTTCCCTGTCTTAAACATTATGTATAATTATTTTTTCCAACTCTAAATTATTTGAAGTGTATTTTAGAAACTGTAATATGGAGAGATGGCTCAGTGGTTAAGGGTACTGGCTGCTCTTGCAGAGGACCTGGGTTCAATTCCCAGCACCCACATGGCAGCTAACAACCTTTGTAATTCTAGTTCCAGGGGATTTGATGCCCTTTTCTGGCCTTTTCAGGCATTGTACTCACGTGATGCACTTACATACATACAGGCAAAACCCTCCTACACATAAAATATAAGTGAATAAGTTTTTAAAAAGAAACTGTAATACAAAGGAAGCTTTAGAGTAAAACTTGTATTTCTTCCACGATCTGCATCCTGGGAATGTAGCAGTGAACTTCAGAGTCTATGAACCTCTGCTCTGGAGTTGTGTTGGCGATAGATAATGAATCAAACATAGATAACGTAAAAATGCTGTGAAGAAAAAGCAGTATGAGGCTATGATTGCCAGAGTGTGGCATTATTTTACACAGAAAGACTGGTCCCTGAAGCTGTCTCTGAGGAGTCACGCTTGATCAAAGATCTTAAGAAGTAAAAGAATATCTGAGGGGAAAATGTTCCAGGCAGGAGCATTTAAAGCATTAAGGGAGGAACATAATTGCAAATTCAGGGTGGAAGGCCCTTGTCTGATTTCTTCAAGCAGTTCCCAGAAGCCCATTTGCAAGTGGGAGAACAAGGAGTGTAATAGGAAGTGAAGTCAGGGGTGGTGGGAGCAACAAACCTTGTGATGTGTGATGTCGAGCCAGAGGAGTAGTCTGTCTGGTGTACGGTTCACAAAGGATCCACTAGAGGAAAGACTTGAGCAGACTGAGTGTGGAAGCAGGAACACTGAAGCAAAGAATGGAGGTGGAGAAGTGACCATTTATGAGACTTTTGCAGAAATAGCCAAGGTAAATTATGGTAGCTTAGACAAAATCAGTAAGAAGAAAGAATTGTCTAACAGTACTTTCTGCAAATAATGTCAACAAAACTTCATGGTAGACTACATATGGGACAAGAACAGCCACTTATATGAAAAAAATGGATAACTGGAGTAGAAAAAACTCAGGATTGTTTTGGATAGGAAAAAATTAAAAGTTTAATTTTGGGGACTGGGGAGATGACTTAGCCAGTGAATGTCCTATCACACAAGCATGAGGACTTGAGTTCAGATCATCCCTAGCACCCACAAAACCTGGGTATCACTACCAACATACTTAGTCCCGGCCATGGGGGGTCTTGGGGGCAGAGACAGGCAGATCCCTGGGGCCCATTGGTCTGCCAGTCTTTTAGCTCCAGGTTCAGTGAGAAACGCCATCTCAAAAAATAAGAGGGAGAGCAATAGAAGACACCCAGTGTTGGTTTCTGGCCTCTGCATGTGCTTGTTCAACCACTTACACAGACATTAATTAATGAATTCAGTTAAGTTCAATTTTGGACCTGTTGAGTTTTAAATAGACTTTAGATGCCCAAAAGGAAATGACAAACATTTATTTTTTTAAAGTCTATAATTTAACGAAGTTAAAAGAGAAAAACCAAGAAATTAGCTCAAAAGAAACTGTCTTAGTAAAATGATTTTTAATACTTAGGTTTATTATACCTATATCCTGTTGATATCGCAAAGAAAGTTTCAAAACTAAACATGGTTTACATTAGGAAGGTTAGTAATATAAATAAGGGGAAAGTTCTTTGGCCATATGTTAGACTCACCTAGGGAATTTTTAAAGACCCTTATGCCCACCCAGACTGCTCCACAACTAGTTAAACAAGAATCTCTGGTTGAAGCCAGCCAGGTGCGATGGTGCACACTTTAATGCCAGCACTTGGGAGGCAGAGGCAGGCCAATCTCTGTGAGTTTGAGGCCAGCCTGGTTTACATAGTGAGTTCTGGGCCTTCTGGATCTACAGGGAGACCCTATCTCAAAAAGAGTGGTCCCCCCCCCAAAAAAAAATCTCTATGAAGCCCAAGTATTGGTATTTTTTAAGTATCGATTTAGTAGAATAGACTTGGAGTAAAATACTACTAAGACCCTGAGAGTGAATGGATTGTTCATTTAAGAATTGAATATGTCTGAAAAATTAAGCAAAGTATAAAATAGATTCAAGCATTTTTTAGAGAAAACATACAATCTTTCATAGAATCTCATTTTTCAGATTCTTCAAGGATTTTAAGTAGAACAAGGAATATTTTGTACTTAAGGCTATCCTGTGTGATTATTAACAAAAAAACTTTGGGCTGGAGAGATGGCTCAGCAGTTAAGAGCTCTGACTGCTCTTGCAAAGGACCCAGGTTTGATTCCCAGCACCCACATGGTGGTTAACACCGTCTGTAAGTCCAGTTTCAGGGGCTCCGATGCCTTCTTCTGACCTCCATGGGCATTGCATGCATGGGTGCATTTACATACATGCAGGCAATACACTCATATACATAAAATAAAATAAATTTTAAGAAAAAACTTAGTGAAGTCACTAATTTTCCCCCTTTAAAAGACTGAGAAAAGACACCCTTGACAGTAATTTTTTAATTGAATAAATTTTGGTACTGCCATTTTATAGCATACAAATACAGAAGATTTGGTGGTACATGCCTTTAATCCCAGTACTAGGAAGCAGAAGCATTCAAGACCAACATGGTCTCCATAGCGAGTTCTAGAACAACTAGGGCTACAGGGAGACCCTATCTTGAAAAGACAAAAAAATAAATAAATAAAAGAAATACAGAGACATTAGATAATTTAAAAATTTGCCGTTAGAAACAACAGTCAGTATAGCTATATGGAAAGCATTAGTCCTAAATAACATTTTAGTTTATTCTTAGGTGCTAAAGTACATATCCTTTCATTATAAATCTACAGCAATATTCATTCTGTAATCAGCTCTCACATTTTTTTTTTCTTCTTTCACAGAAAATGCTTGGACAGAAGAGATGAGTACTAATTCCACTAAGGCCTAGAATTGCCTACTCTACAGCTAGTCCTGAGCAGGCAACTTACGAATGGCCCAAGGAAGCCACCAAATTGATTTTCAGGTTTTACATGACCTGCGACAAAAATTCCCTGAGGTGCCTGAAGTTGTTGTATCCAGGTGCATGTTACAGGTCAGTGTTCATTGACTTGCGAATTGGTTAATGCAGAATATTAATTACAATATTAATAATATTAATCTGGTGGGTCTTTTTAGATATTGGAAGAGAACTTTTTGGAATTATCTGTTTGTATTAATGTTCTATAATGAAAAGAAATGAGCTTTTATGTCTGATAGTCATGTGACCTTTGGCAAAGATGGAGCTCTCAGTAACCACTTGTGAAATGGTTTAATGCCTGTCTTGTAGATCCAAGGGTTAATTGACTTCTGAACATAGAAGCATTGGTGTATGCTGACAAATTTAGTAGCCCAGAACTTGCTTTATTCTCCCCCTCCTTTTGTAAGATTTTAAAAATTCCAGACCCTTTTTTTTTTTTTTTTTTTGGTCTTTTTGAAACAGGGTCTCCCTGTAGCCCCAGCTGGCCTGGAACTCACAAAGATCCACCTGCCTCTGCCTAAATTCCAGACCTTTATATGAAAGTGAAGAAAATTATTAGATGGAAAACTTGTTCTACTAATTTGGCACTCCAAGCGTAGTTGTGAAAGCCTGCTTTGTATGTCAGTTTTCTTACATATACAATGAAGGAGTTTGCGCTGATAGTGCTAAGTCCCCAATTGTAAAGAAAAAAGCATTTTTTAAAATATTTTTGTTTATAAGTTTTCTAATTAATATAACTTCTTAATTTCTACATTGCTAAATCTAGAAATCCATAATTCTAAATATTTAGTGATAATTGTACTTCCCACTTACTGAAATTGGAAATCTTTCGGTCAAAAGCTCTTTGAGGGGGGCTGGAGAGATGGCTCAATGTTAAGAGCATTCGCTGCTCTTGAAGAAAATCCAGGTTTGGTTCCCAGCACCCATATTGACGGCTAACAACTGTCTGAAGCTCCAGTTCAGGGAATCAGAAGAGAGCTTCTGACCTCTGTGAGCAAATGCACAACATAGGTGCACTTACATACATATAAGCAATACACTCATACACATAAAATTTAAAAAGTAAATAAAGGCTGGGTGTGGTGGCACAGACCTTTAGTCCCGGCACTTGGGAGGCAGAGGCAGGTGAATCTCTGTGATTTCAAGGCCAGCCTGATCTCCATAGCGAGTTCCAGGCCAGCTGGGGCTACAGGGAGACCCTGTCTCAAAAAGACAAAACAAAACAAAAAAAGATAAATAAAAGTACTAAAATAAAATACTTTAGAAAAAGAAACTTTGTGGCTCGTTATATGTGCTTACTTTTGACGAATGATTTTTAAAATTTGAAATGGTATGAAATCTTTTCCAAATTTATTTGATAATGACTGTGTACATTTTGTTCACACCTTTATTGCCGTTTATCTTTATTTTAGTTAGTCTGTGTACCTTTAGCCTTAACCCAGTTTCGGTTTGCCAGTCTGTCTTCTTAAGTCTGCTAAAGTATGTTTCTAAATGAAGATTTTATCATCTATTTACCTGCTAAAGATTTTTATTTCCCACATCCTTCAAAATGAATTTCAGGGGTTGACTGGGGTGCTCTGGGATCCCGGCTTGTTCTGCAGCCCCAATGTCATACCTCACACTGTAATCATCCTCAGGTACATGGAATTCTCCAGATTTACCTGTTGATAAGCATATGTTTTAGATAAGCAGACCTGAGTTTACATTTTGATAGTTACTAACAGTAACTTAACCCCTTTAACTCTCATTTCTTCACTATTTAATGAGGATAGAAAATACTTTACAGTGAACAGTGTGGTGGCTCATGGCTTTCAATGCCAGCACTTGGGAGGCAGAGGCAGGCTGTGTGAGATCTAGACCAACCTAGACTACGTAATGAGTTGCAGGCCAACTTGGGCTACAGGGAGACCCTATCTCAACACACACACACACACACACACACACACACACACACCACCACCACCACCACCACCACCACCACCACCTACAACAACAACAGCAGCAACAACAACAGAAACTTAACAGGAAAAAATAAGGTAAAGCAATTAATAGGCTACCTGGCTCAGTAGATTTCTAAAAGAGTAGTAATAGTGGAAGGCTCGTAGCAGAGATTTGGCAAATGAATCAGTAGCTACATTTATCAGTATAGAATGGGAAAGGAAAAGGTAAGCAAGGAAATAAACAGAATAAGATAGAAGTCAGACGTTATAAGGGGGAAAGAACAGGGAGAGTAGGGGAAAGATAGTCTCCAGTAGAATGCAAGTCCCTCTCTCTAGCTTTTCAAATAAAGTAGAACTTAGTAGGAAAATAAAGCTAGGCTAAAGGTATTCAGAGAGTCATTGAAAAATTCACCAGAAAATACTAAGTATTCTCCAACAAATTTCATATACATGATACTGAACAACTATTTAGAACACTCCCTATATATAGCTCAGTGATATTTTAAATGCAGTTAACTGGAAGTAAAGCATAGAGCCTTTTATAGAATTGCTTAAAATATTTTTGAAACATACAGAAGATATCTAATGTGTACTTCATTGTAATCAGTGTAATCACTTTAGTCTATTAGGGAAACAAACCAAGCATGGTGGTACATGCTGTTTAATATGAACACATTAAATTGATCACAAAAGGACTAAAGGGATTTTTGACATCTCGAGAGAATTAAAGAAGACTTTGTAAATGAGTGTGAAGCTTTTACAAAGGTAGTACAGAATTAAATTTAGTAGGAACTTTTTTTTCTTTTTCTTTTTCTTTTTCTTTTTTTTTTTTTTTTTTTTTTTTGGAGACAAGGTCTCTATGTGGTCCTGGCTGGCCTGGAACTTGTTATATAGACTAGGTTGTCCTCAGACTCTCAGAAATCTGCCTGCTTCTGCCTCTCAAATAGTAGGAGGCAGCTAGTGATCTTAATCACTGAACCATCTTCAGTCCTGGAAAATATATTTTAATTAGGGAAGAGAAATAGGAGGTGAAAGAAAAACAAGTTTTGTTTGGAGGGTTTGGGTTTTTTGTTATTGTTTTTGTTTTGAGATAGGATTTCCCTGTAGCCCCAGCTGGGCTGGAACTCGATATATAGACCAGGCTGGCCTCCATCTCGCAGATCTGCCCACCTCTGCCTCCCAAATGTGAGGATTAAAGGCATGCGCTATCATGCCAGGCTGAAAAACGAAATTTTTATATCTCTGTGAGGCTTGATGTAGTAGGGAGAAGAATTTACCAGGAATGGTAGCTGGGCGTGGTGGTGCAAGCCTTTGCTCCCAGCACTTGGGAGGTAGAGGCAGGCAAATTTTTATGAATCCAAGGCCAGCCTGGTCAACATAGCCAGGCCAACTGGGGCTATAGGGAAACTCTGTCTCAAAAAAGCTTTAAAAAAAAAAAAAAGAATTTAGTAGGAATAGCAAATAGCAATAAAGTTAGCAAAGGATGGTCTAATTATCATAAGGAATGGTGGTTAGTGGAGAAAGATTGTGATCACTTTTTCAATTTTAATTGACTACAATTCATATTTATGAGTAAGATTGAAGGATTTTTATTAATAAAAAAGCCTTAAATTGGGCTAGAGTGATGGCTCAGCAGTTAAAAACACTGGTTGTTCTTGCAGAAGATCCGGGTTCGAATCCCAGCACCCACATGGCAGCTAACAACTGTCCCTAACTCCAGTCCCAGGGGATCCAACAGCCTCTTCTGACCTCTGCAGGCATTGCACAGCACAGGTGCACTTGCCTACATGCGGGCAATACATGCATATACATAAAATAAAAATAAATAACTTTTTTTAAAGCCTTAAATTGTTGGCACTAGCCCCCCCCCCAAAAAAATCAACCACTGCTCACTTCTTTTTCTGATACTTTTTCGAATAATACAGACTATCATTTCTTAACAAGAGTCCAGTTCTGTCTCAGGTGATTTTTATGACATACCAAACTGTTTATAGACATTTTAACTTTTGTTGGTTTCTCTTTGGCTTCTAATCTTCCAGTTCTTTAATTCTTTTTCTTTTTTTTTCCCTCTCTCTCTTACGTCCAAATTGTTACTTATTCTATTATCAGACATTTATTATTTCATTATTCTCACTGGTTGTCTTGTCAAAAGACAATTCCTTTCTTTACATCTTAAGTATCAACAGTATTGTCTTTCCGAAGTACCCTTTGAGCTGTGTTTATCTGTGCTCAGTAGTCTCCCAATTGAATTACAAGAAAAACTAAACTGTATAGTGTGATACACTTTTTCACATCCTTTATTGTTTAATTCCTGTCTACATTTGCAACAATCTGTTTCCACAGTTTCTGTTGTGAACCTTAACCCAACTAGATCTGTTTCATGAGTTTGTTTGGAATATGCTTCAGCTTAACTTCTGTTTATGTCCTTCACTGCTATGCTGTTCCCTTCAAGAATTCTTTTGGAGTTTGTTTTTGGCCCCCATCTGAGTTATACATACCCTATGAAAACCATCAAGCCAGACCTATCTTATTAGTCCAGTCTTCTACATGTGCGTGTTCACATAAATGTTGTATGTTGTGTGTGAGTGTCCATGTGGCGGGGGGGGGGGCAGGAAACAACCCCAGGTACTGTCCATGGCTTGTTTTGTTTTTTGGGTTTTTTTTTCCCCCCCTTGAAGCAGGGTCTCTCATTGTGACCTGAGGTTCCCCCTTTAGGCTAGTCTGACTGGCCAGTAAACTCCAGGGATCCTCCTGCCTCCACCTTTTCAGTGATAGGATTATGGACTCACCACTACCCAACTTTTTATGTGGGTGTTGGAGATCAAACCCAGATCCTCATGTTTATACAAGTACTTTACCTACTGAGCTGTCTTCCTAGCCCTAATCCAATCTTTTTTTTTTGTTTCCCCCTTTAGGCTAGTCTGACTGGCCAGTAAACTCCAGGGATCCTCCTGCCTCCACCTTTTCAGTGATAGGATTATGGACTCACCACTACCCAACTTTTTATGTGGGTGTTGGAGATCAAACCCAGATCCTCATGTTTATACAAGTACTTTACCTACTGAGCTGTCTTCCTAGCCCTAATCCAATCTTTTTTTTTTGTTTTTTTTTTTTTTGTTATAGTAGCTTATGATATTAACTCTGTTGAGCTTCAGTACCATTTATTATTTGGGACATACTACTATTAATAATTTACTTTTTTAAAAATCCGTGGTTTATCTCCTGATTGAGTTGCAAACTCCTCTAGGGGAAAAGTTCAGTTTTATTTGTCATTGAGTCTTCCATAGGCTCAAACAGTGCTATGTATAGGAGGCGTAGAGGTTTAGTATTTTTGTGCATGATTTATAACTAATGGTTAGGTACTTTATTTTGAAACAGCTTGGTTTTGGTTTTGTTTCTGCTTTGTTCCTCTGGAATGGATTTCTGTGGGGGGTTTGTTGTTGTTTTGTTTTTGTTTTGAGGGTTTTTAGGGGGATTTTTTTGTTGTTACTGTTTTTTGTGGTTCCTTTGTCTTTTCCAGACAGGGTCTCCTTGCAGCCCCAGCTGGCCTGGAACTCACTATGTAGATGAGGCTGGTCTTGATATCACAGAGATCCGCCTGCCTCTGCCTCCCAGTACTGGGATTAAAGGATATGCCACCATGCCCTGCTTCTGTGGTGCTTTTAAAGGCAAAGATGTGAACTCAGTTCGTTTGGTGGCTCCCTTGTACTTATATTTCACATGTAGATGAATATTTTTCACAAGAAGAAGCATTTAGAAATTAATTTCTAAATTAATTTTAGAAATTTCTAAATTTAAGCACTAAAAATTAACTTATTAAAGGGTCTTTAGTTTAAAAGAATTTGTGTAACAACTGAGTATATAACGTGTAAGCACTGATACACTTATTTTCTACCAAGTAGTTTGAGAAACTTTATATCCTTTAATTTTAAGAAGAAATTTAATTATACAGTATTTATTGTTTGGTTTGGTTTGGGTCTTTTTGTGTCTCTCAGGAAACCCCATCTGGACTGAGCTCTGCCTGCCTCTAACCCTAACTGCTGGGATTAAAGGCATGCGCCACTGTACCTCACCAGTATATATTCTTAAGTTGATTACTTTGTTCATCATGAGAATTGCATTTCTAATTAGATTATACTTTTACTGCACTTGGATGAATCCGTTTTCCTAAACAGCTTCTAAAACAGTCCTTTGATTCATATTTATCTGTTACTAGTCAGTTTTTCCTTTAACTAATAGTGAGAATTATTAAATCATTTACATAAAAATTCTCAAAGAGGTTCAAATACTGTTTATATTTGTATTACCCATTCACTCATTAATCACATAATATTTTTGAATGATAGTCTTTATTTGCTTCTGATTGTTAATATCAACCTGTTTTTATTTTTTTTAATAGAATAATAATAATTTGGATGCCTGCTGTGCAATTCTCTCTCAGGAGAGTACAAGGTATCTTTATGGTGAAGGAGACCTGAATTTTTCAGATGATTCTGGAATTTCTGGTCTACGCAATCACATGACTTCTCTCAACTTGGACTTGCAATCACAGAATGTCTACCACCATGGAAGAGAAGGGAATAGAATGAATGGAAGTAGGACTTTAACACACAGCATTAGTGATGGACAACTTCAAGGTGGTCAGTCCAACAATGAACTGTTTCAACAGGAGCCACAGACAGCACCAGCTCAAGTTCCTCAAGGCTTTAATGTTTTTGGAATGCCCAGTACATCCAGTGCTTCAAATTCAACGCCACATCTTGGATTTCACCTAGGCAGCAAAGGAACATCAAACCTTTCTCAACAAACTCCCAGGTTTAACCCCATTATGGTAACTTTAGCCCCAAACATACAGACTGGTCGTAGTACTCCTACATCTTTGCACATACATGGTGTACCTCCACCTGTACTTAACAGTCCACAGGGAAATTCTATCTATATTAGGCCTTACATTACAACTCCTAGTGGTACAGCACGACATACACAACAGCATTCTGGCTGGGTATCTCAGTTTAATCCCATGAACCCTCAACAAGTCTATCAACCTTCACAGCCTGGTCCTTGGACTGCATATCCTGCATCTAATCCTCTGCCACATACCTCAACCCAACAGCCAAATCAGCAGGGCCACCAGACCTCTCACGTCTACATGCCTATCAGTTCACCTACTACTCCACAACCGCCAACAATCCATTCATCTGGTAGCTCACAGTCTTCTGCCCATAGCCAATATAACATTCAGAATATTTCAACAGGACCTCGAAAAAACCAGATTGAAATCAAACTTGAACCCCCACAAAGAAATAATTCTTCAAAATTACGTTCTTCTGGACCTCGAGCCTCCAGTACTTCCTCTTTGGTCAACAGCCAGACCTTAAATAGAAATCAGCCCACTGTTTACATAGCTGCCAGTCCTCCAAGTACTGATGAGATGATCTCCCGCAGTCAACCTAAGGTCTATATTTCAGCTAATGCCACCACAGGAGATGAGCAAGGCATACGGAACCAGCCTACACTCTTCATATCCACAAACTCTGGAGCATCTACAGCCTCCAGGAATATGTCTGGGCAAGTGAGCATGGGTCCTGCCTTTATTCATCACCACCCTCCCAAAAGCCGAGCAATAGGCAGTAACTCTGCGACTTCTCCTCGAGTGGTGGTCACTCAACCCAACACAAAATATACTTTCAAAATCACAGTTTCTCCCAATAAACCCCCTGCAGTTTCCCCAGGGGTGGTATCTCCTACCTTTGAACTTACAAATCTTCTAAATCATCCTGACCATTATGTAGAAACAGAGAATATTCAGCACCTCACGGACCCTGCCTTAGCACATGTGGATAGAATAAGTGAAGCACGGAAATTGAGTATGGGATCTGACGATGCTGCCTACACACAAGGTAATAGTAATATTAGAGGAGGGATAATTTCCCATGCTGGATTTGTTGCTGTACATAGGATTTCACAGCAGAAGTAGGCATCAGTCTTCCTTTGTCTGGTTTGGTTTGGTTTGGTTTGGTTTGGTTTGGTTTGGTTTGGTTTGGTTTTTTGTTTTGTAGTACTAGGAATTGAATTTCAGATCTTGCTGAACAAAGTGTTCTACCACTGACCCATATACCCAGCCCAACTTCATCTTTAAGTGTCCCAAATAATATCTTAACAATTGAAAATGTTCATATAATTTAAATTTATATTTTAGTATCATGATTTGAAGTGTGATAGTTATTAACTCTTCAGAATAATTTTTTTTAATTTCTAGAAATAACCCATAAAAACATTTTGCTAAGATACTGACTCTGCCTTCTTTGACCTGATATTTGAAAAGTTTCTTTATCTTTTCATTATGACATTGTTAGTTTTTATTAAAGTCTGAATTGAGCCTTAGAATAGCATAACTGAAAGAGAAAGTTATTGCCTCCAGTATCTCTTATAGCCTCCCCTCTATATATCAGCTAATGTAGTATGGCCTTTAAGTAAATCTGAATAAGAATGTTAGATTTAAATCTGTCTCAATTGCTTATTCTTTTCTGAAATAGACTAGTTGATACTGGCATAAATCTAAATTCCATCTGTATTGGACTGGAGCAGTGCTGAGCAGTGTGAAGAGACTGGCTACTCAACACCCGGGTCAGTTCCCAGCACCCACATGGCAGCTAACAACTGACTGTAACTCCAGTTCAGGGGATCTGACATATTCTTCTGACCTTCGATGGCATTGCACAACACAGATGCATTTAACATGTATGCAGGTGAAACACTCATACACATATAATAAAAATACATAAATATTTTTAAATTATATCTGTATTAATTCAAATAGAGACAGTTTGTGTCACACATTTTATCTGTCCCTTTGAGTTACTTCATTTTCAGCAGGAAACTTAAATTCATTCAGATAAGAAACTGGAGGTGACATGTTAGTTTTCTTGAGTGTCCATAGAAGTTTGCAGATTAGCTATGAGTTTTAGAGTCATCTTTGTATTTTCAGTGAACTGTCCTGGTAGGAAAACACAGCATCATCACCTTGTAGCCTGCAGCTCCCTACTATCCTTAGCACCTCTTATTCTGCTGCTTCTTGGAGATGCCTGACTCTTTGGTCTTATTTTGTTTAAACTGATATGCACTAGTGATTTTCAATCCATGCTAGGGTATGGTGCTTTCAAATTCCATAATTATCTGTAGATATTTCAAAAATATCAAATGCCCAGGGCCCAGCCTAAACTTGCACAAATTAGAATCTTGAAATAGTGAACCTGTACATATGTATATTTTAGAGCTCTGTGGGTTGTTTTGATAACACTAGAGATTGTGTTAAAACTGATCCTTTTCCGGGGCTGCAGAGATGGCTCAGCAGTTAAGGGCACTGGCTGCTCTTGCAGAAGACCCAAGTTCATTTCCTAGCACCCACATAGCAGCTAACAACTGTCCATAATTCTAGTTCCAAGGGAATTCAACACCCTTTTCTGACCTCCTGAGGCACTGCACAACACAGATGCACTTATACACATGCAGGCATTAACACTCATACACATAAAAAATAAATCCAAAAAAATCATACTTTCCATATATTTGTAACTGATTGAAACCATTTTTGTTTACTTTCAGCAATGCATGGGTTTCCATATTTTTTTTTTTAAATCCACCAAAATTCTTTTACCAAAGTCTTATTCTCCTGTCAAAACAGCAGGATTTCTGTGTTTGGATATTTGCTGAATCTTCAATATACAGAAAATTTTTATGAAGATAAAATGTGATAATAGAAAATTTGCAATAGACATTAACATCTAATTAGACATTATGAATATTAAAATTATTCATATCTAACGTAAATGAGAAATAAAGTGTTTCTTAAATGCACTATCTCTAATTTTTCTCCTCCCATTCTCTTTAGAATGTGCTGCAGTCGGGGTTTTTCCCACTGTGGTCAACCAGAACTACTGTTGGGGTCATCAGTGCTAGCTCGTTATAGCACCAGTGGAGATCTGTTGGTTTTGCCTTCCCCGATTTGTAGTTCAGCACTGGATACAGTTGGCCACCCTCCTCTCCTAAGACACTGCATTTTGTTCCTAGGGCATTCTGCTCCAGGGTCCTCCCTGTTTTCATTCTGTGCTGGTTCTCCCTCATCTTTTCACACAGTCACCTCTTTGCCCTTCTACTTCTTTGGTCCCAGTGAGGTCAGAGCCTCATAGCTTAATTCTTGGCTTTTCTGTTTATATTTATTCTTTGAGTGATCTCATGATTTTTTAAATAGAATTTTTATTAAATTTTTGTGTATTTCATATAATATATCTTAATCATATTTAGGCCTCCCTTCTCTGTCTGCACCGCCCCCCCATAACCCACCCATGGGACTTCACAGTTCTGTCATGTATATTAAGACCTATCGAGTCAAGTTTGTATGCCCAGATGTCTGTCAGTGTGAGTTTATCCTCTGGAACCTGGTCAGGTTTTGTGGTTGGTTGGTTGGTTGGTTGGTTGGTTGGTTGGTTGGTTAGTTAAAAGCACCATCTGGCCTTCAACTGACAATCTTCTTACCTGTGTCTCCTGAGGGGCCTGTACCACCATGCCTGGCTTTGACCTCTTGATTTTGAATAACATTATATACTCAGGACTCACAAATTGATAACTCTAATCCAGACTTCCTCACTGAGTTCCAAGCCACTTTATCTGACCACCTAATAAATATCTGCCGTGGAATGTTTAATAGGGTTCTCCAACTTAGTCTTCAAACAACTTCTGAATTCCTCACCAATCTACTCTTCTTTTGCTCAGTTATAATGTTTTAGTGATTAGAAGAAAACCTTTATTCCACATTTCACATCTGTTTTGACAGAAAATCCTATGAACTCCGGCCTTCTGAGTGTACCCAGAATTCCATCCTCCTCCATTGTCACTACTCTCAATTAAACCACCATCATCTCTCAGATTGTTTTAGTAGCCTACCTGCCTTCACCCTTGTCATCTTGTGATTTCACCCTTGTCATCTTGTGATCTTGCAGCACAGCAACCAAGGAGTACTGTTCACAAATACATCCTACCTGTCGCTGCACAGGTGATAGCTGTCTCTAGTCCAAGTCCATTCAGAGTAAAATCTCTGAGTTTCGCATGCTTGCTGTCCCTCCTCATCTACTGTATTTCCTTTTTTAAAAATATTTTATTATTTTTATATGTCCGCGTGTATTGTCTACACGTATGTAAGTACACCCGTGTCGTGCAGTGCCCTTGGAGGACAGAAGAGGCTGTCGGATCCCCTGGAACTGGAGTTACGGACAGTTGTTAGCTGCCATGTGGGTGCTGGGATTCGAACACGGACATTTGTTAGCTGCCATGTGGGTGCTGGGATTCGAACCCGGGTCTTCTGCAAGAACAGCCAGTGTTCTTAACTCCTGAGCCATCTCTCCAGCCCCATGTATTTCCTTTTTTAATATAACTGTTCTATATTTGTTTAGTATGTATATGTACATGTACATGTGCCCACGTGTGTACATTGTGGTGGAGATCAGAGGACAACTTGAAGTCAGTTCTCTATGTCCACCTTTACATGGTTTCTGGGGATCCAGCTCAGGTTTATTGGGTTCAATGGCAAGCACATTTTACCCACTGAACCCTCTCACTGGCCTTGCTTTTCCTCTCAGTCACTACCTTGCTTTTTTTTGTCTTGCCACACTGGCTTCTTACTCTTCCCTAAACATGGAAGGAAGGCGTGTTTTAGTGCCTTTGTACTTAATAGTCCTACTGTGGAAGTTTCTTCTGAAAAACCCACTTGGTTAGTGCCCTTCACATACGCACTCAGAAGCCACCTTTGCAGTGACAGATTCCTAATCTTCCTATCTAAACTCAACCTCCACCTCAGCATAGTCTCTCTCTCCACCCTTGCTTCTCTTTGCTCAAGGTGAAAAGTAGTTTAAGATCAGTAAGAACTAATACTTGTTGGAAGCTTACTATGTTCTGAAAACTTTATTTCCCATAGCCAGCCTTAAAGTAAGCACTAGTATAAGTTCCATTTTCAAGTTGAAGTATATAGGAGCAAATAAATAAGTTGCCAAAAGGTAACTGACACAGTCAAGATTCTAACTAGAAAGTTAACAACAGAACCCACAGTCTTAACTACTAAACAGTAATGTCTTTCTTTTCAAATTTTTCCAGGTAAATCCTCTGGAGAGACACTTGAGGTGTGTCTCGTAGCTCATATAACTATGGTGCCACTGGGAGCCATATGTTCCTCAGTTTGAGAAGGAGGGGCTACATGATTGAGTTCTTATAACTAAAAAAAAAAAAAAAAAAAAAAAGTAGTAGTAAAGAAAGCACACTAAGCAGAGAAAGTTAAAATAACTTGAACCAATAAACTATGGAGAGCATCTCCTGAAGGCACTGAAAGTAAAAACCTGCTGACTGAAGGCTCTGGTTGAAAGCTCTGAGCCTCCCGGAACAGCTGGTTTTCCCAGAATCTGCCACTCAGATTGTTCCCTTTTACTGACAGCCTTTGACAGCTGTAACAACCTTGATCACTTTCTGTACACATGCCTGTCTGTGTATTGAATTTCATAACACTAGTGTGGCTTGTATTCTTATGTTGGCTTTTCATGCATGCTGTACTAGGGTGGTAGCTGTTCTGTAGCCTATCTCTTTGCCTTCTGTTATGGGGCAACAGACATTGGCCCAGATCTGTGGATCATCCAGTTACAGAATCCTGGTCACACTAGTTAGTGCCTCAGTAACTTAGTATCATGCATATCCGTGTCGTGCATTGCCCGCAGAGGTCAGAAGAGGGCATCAGATCCCCTGAAACTGGAGTTACTTATGGATGTTAGCCACCAAGTGGGTGCTGGGAACCGAACTCAGGTCCTCTGCAAGATCAGCCAGTGCTCTTAATGGCTGAGCCATCTCTCCAGCCCCAGGA